CTCTGCAGCCGCCCTAGGTCTGCGAAGAGATCGCAGCTCAGGCTGGGGAGCCCAGGAGGGCCGAGTGCCCGGGCCCCGGGCCCTCCACCCACCGCTCCCGTCCACTCCGCCCTAGCACCAGCCACCTCTCCAGAACACCATCCCCTGGCAAGGTGGGGCCTTACCCTGGAATAGGGAGCTCAGCAGGTCCTGGTTGACGTAGCCGGGGCTGGCGTGGTGGACAAGGAAGCCTGGACCACAGCAGATGCATGACTGCGGGCCCCACAGCCCCACAGGGCGGGACTGGCCCAGCTCCCACAGCCCTGGTGCCAGGGGCAGTGTGACCCCGGGCGGCCTCACCTATGAGCACGGCAGCTGCCCGGCGCAGGGGGTCCTGTGGACTCCGCAGGTAGCCCTGGGTCTGGCTCAGGAAGTTGGGCACGTGGCCTGGGTATCGCTGAACCTGGGGACAAAAGGGCTAGTGGCAGGACAGGAGAGTGATCCTGAGTGTGGAGGAGGCTGCAGAGCTGAATCCAGGGGCCGGGGTTCCAGGGGAGCCCCCCAAGGCAAGTGGCATGGTCTGAGGCCTTGGACTTGTCCCACCAGTAGCCTGACTATCTGGTTTGGCTGCGGTAGAAACGGTTTGAGGGCCCCCGTGAACCCTGGAACAAGTGGGCAGCTGATCATACCCCCTTGTGGTCGGCTTGCTTCCCCTACTGACCAGGCGGCGGCAGAGGTGGCTCAGGGCCTCGGGGCTGTCATAGTGGGCCACGGTGACCATCTCCTCCAGCAGGCCCCAGCAAAAGGCCTGGTCGCAGCGGGCCAAGGTCCACTCTGAGCTCTGGGATAGGGGAAGGGAGCCGGGTCAGGGGTCCAGGAAGTAGAAAGGCAAAAGGTGGGGGTGAGAAGAGGGGGAGCAAGGGCATCAGGTGAGGGGCAAAAGAGCCCAGGGCAGGGGCCCGGAGTGAATCTCAAGGGAAGAGCAGTAGTAACCTGGTCGCCCGTGACGCCTACCCCTGAGGTCCTTGGGATGGGGGAGTCCCTGACCTGTAATTGTCGGAGGGGAGGCACGGTGGGAAAGGGGAGGCACGGTGGGAGTGGGGAGTGTTGGATGGCATAGGGGTGGCATGGTGTGAGGGGCAGCTGACCTCAGCAGCGTCCCTGCTGGGGTCATGCAGGCGCAACAGGAGCGGCACGAGACTCTGCAGCACCAGCTTCCGCAGGGGGCCACGGAGCCCCAG